TTAATTGGATTTAGTTGAAATAAACTTGGTCACCATGTTCATGGCTTACGTGGCAATCAACATTTTCATGGGTTTAAAGGAGGGTACTCATCACTTATTTCCTTTGAAATGAACTTGGTTTTGGTACTTCCTGTAGGTTATTTATCATACTATTGTTGGATAACATCTCTTTGATCAAAGATCCAATATTTTAATCTCTACTCTACCCGCAAGCAAATACCCTGCCCTAATTGTAGTAGTGAATTCTTGGAGCATTACCAAAATAGTTGAGATTTATTTCTGTCTCCTCCAAGAAGAAAGGAAAACACTTGACGGAGAGTTGGCTCTTGCAAAAGTAACAACCATTAGAGTAGCTGTACTTGTAGCAAATGAATGGACTTTTTGTTTGTTGTTGGAAAATTGTTTTCCTATTTTGATTAATTTTGATACTTAGTTTTATCTTTTGATGCCTCATTATGTTTATGTTCAGCTGTATGTAAGAGACTTGTCCACGAGAGAGTCTTTTGCTTTGCGCAGGGAATATCTCATTCAACAATTGGCATATATGAGGAGAATACATGGGTTGCAACTACAAATTCGRTGTAATCCTCATGAGGTTGATGAGTTAGCATGTGCGGTTTTATGATATTTTAGCAGAGGTCCTGCTAAAATTTTGACATTTTTTTGTTTGAGTTATGTTTGATTAATTAGAATTGAATCTTTATTGTCTATTGTGTTATGTAAAAGAATGTTGTTGTTTATAAGTACCCATGTTTTTTTGTTTAAGTTATGTTTGGTGAATGAGTAGTAAATCTTTATTGAGTTGTGTATAGAGAAGACTGTTGTTAAGAATTTATCCCTTAAATTGGATTAAGAATATGTTCCCACCAAATTCATCAATCAAACAAGAAACAAAACTTACTTTGTTTTCGTTCAATATGAAGCTCCCTCGCTGCATCACACTCATGTTCTTCTCGCTTCTCTTGGTCATGGTAACCAACCTTTCCCAATTTCCTCATCTAAAATTTTTTATATATGTGAAATTATCATTTCTGTCAAGTTTAATTACTCAAATATTATGCAATTCTCTAACCCTTTTTGTTCTTCTTTGTGATCGGATGTTTTAGTTTGCGAGTACCACAGAGTCCAGAAAAGAATTGAAAGATCATTGGTACAAAAATGTGATGGAAGATGAGTCATTGCCTAATTTAAAGCCACTTTTTCTTGGAGGTGAAAAGCTTTTCATTAAGAAGTTTGAACCAAGCACTGACAATGTTTACTTGCCTATAAAATGAAATGATCATCTCCCACATTCTTTCAGAAAAAACAGGCTTTCATTAAAGTTATAGAGCCTCAACCAATAAAGCTTGAACCAAGCACTGACAATGCTTTACTTGTCTATAAAATAGAACGATCATCTCCCACMTTCTTTAGGAAAAACCAGCTTTCATTAATGATATAGAACCTCAATAATTGGAGCTTGAACCAAGCACGGACAATGCTTTACTTGCCTATAAAATGGAACGATCATCTCCCACATTCTTTCAGAAAAAACCA